GGAACCGTTGGTCCCATTGTTTTCTCCTCCAGCTTGTTTATCCCACTTATCTTATCGAGATAGACCGGCAGAGATAATAATATGCCCCAAAATACAAGACAGAGGAAAACAAAACAACCAAAAAAAGGGAAAAAAAAGACAAGCCTGTAAATAGTTCAAGGTCTGTTTGTTGACCTATAGAAGTGTTTTCCGGTTGAGTCTGATAGGGCACCACACCCTGACCCCAAAGTCTATTTTTGGTATTCCCTGGGGACTTCCTTGCTCTGTTCTCCTTGCTATTCTGTTGCATACGTGTAGTGTTTCACCTCAGTGTGGTGGTGTAATTCCGCACTGTGTCTCGAGTGTTATACCGTGTAGGGCTATGGGTCAGCGAGGGACGTCATTTCTCATAGTGGGGCCAGCCATATGGTCCTCTCTGTGCATTAGCTGTTCGGAGCAGGGATATCGTCCTCCAGGCCTGGTGGGCCAGGATGTGCTCCACTCTCTCTTCCTCCCTTTGTATTTGCTCCTGTGTGCTCTTACCAGACATGTCCCTCTTTCCTGGCTGTAGCTTCAGTGCTGTCCTCTGAAGTGAATTCTTCTATGGGGAGGAGGGGCTCTCCTTGTAGTTGGGATTGGGGCTGGCCCCTACATGATTATTTTTACTTCCCTTTATTTAATATGTTGTTGCTAGGTGTTGTTGGGTTGGCTCCAACTCAGCAACTGTATGTGCAACAGGTGGCAACACTGCCTAGTCCTGCACCATTAGTTAGTATCTGCCCTTGTAAGTGACTCCCCTCATCTAGCTACATTCCTCAGATCAGTCCACTCTCCCTGAGTTGTTAATTATAACTACTGTCACATGCTTCACTCTCCTTTATCTAGTATCTCTTCGGTCTTATTTATTCCAGTATTCTGGTTATTTCCTTAACGGTTTCTGAGTCAGGGTTGGTTGTACAAAGACAATATGAGATAAGTGCATGAGGACACTTAGCACAGTGCCTGCACTGTCAGTTTGCTTATTGTTACTGCCAATATTATTAGCAGAGTTTAAGAATCAAATGATCAAAAGTAATGTGTAGTCATTTAGTCATTTTGAGGAAAAGGTTGTGCTACTGGTTTCAATGACACATTAGCCCTTTGTGTCTTTGATTCATTAGCCAGTTTTTAATCAATTTGTCAGGAGGTAACTGATGTTACATATTTTTACCCAATAGAATTTACATCTGAAGAAAATAAAACATTCAGATTCACTGCTCATGATGATGTGACTTCCTTCTTGTTAACCAAATTAATCCTACTGGATGTGTGCACGTGTTCACGTGTGCAGAGCATTCTAAGCAGGACCCTCATTGGCGTATTCTGAATGCACTGTTCAGAGGTTCCCCCAGTTTGGATTATACCCCAAGGCTCATTGGGGTAAAAGGATTATGCTCATATTCTTTTTTTTAAAATCATTTTATTAGGGTCTCATACAACTCTTATCACAATCCATACATACATCAATTGTGTAAAGCGCATTTGTACATTCATTGGCCTCATCATTCTCAAAACATTTCCTCTTCACTTAAGCCCACGGCATTAGGTCCTCATTTCCCCCCCCATCCCCGCTCCCTCCTCCCTCATGAGCCCTGGATAATTTATGTTATATTATTTTGTCATATCTTGCCCTGTCCGACGTCTCCCTTCACCCACTTTTCTGTTGTCCGTCCCCCAGGGAGGAGGTCACATATAATTCCTTGTAATTGATTCCCTCTTTCCAACCCACTCTCCCTTTACCCTCCCAGTATCGCCACTCTCACCACTGGTCCTGTAGGGCTCATCTGCCCTGGATTCCCTGTATTTCCAGTTCCTATCTGTACCAGTGTACATCCTCTGGTCTAGCCAGACTTGCAAGGTAGGATTCGTATCGTGATAGTGGGAGCGGGGAGGAAGCATTTAGGAACTAGAGGAAAGTTGTATTTTTCATCGTTGCTACATCGCACCCTGACTGGCTCATCTCCTCCCCGAGACCCCTCTGCAAGGGGATGCTCATATTCTTATCATTCTAATGTCCACGATCCAGTATTATTTGGCCACATGTTGGGAATGCTGACTAACCTTTGTTGTTGGGTAAAGATCAAGGCCATGGAGCAGAGCTCTGTAACAATAGTGCTGCCCCTGAGCATCAGGGACAGCAGGCTGCAGCCTGCACCGCCCCTCAGCAGGTAGATGCTTCCAGACAGACATGACCATAGGGCTTCCATCCTGTGTCAGGAACAGATACCCCCTGCTTTTCTCTTGCCAAGGCTTACCTACCCACGGCACACTAATCACCCCAGACTTGGTCTTTGTGCCACCTCTTCTCTCCAGGTGACCTGTATGGAGCCCTTGGGTCCCCGGTGAGGCTGACTCGCACTGTGGTGGTAGGCAAGCAGAAGGATCTGGTGCAGCGCATTCTCTACGTCCTGACTTACTTCCTCCGCTGCTCTGAGCTACAAGAGAACCAGCTGACCTGGAGCGGGACTCACGGCGAGGGCGACCAGGTGATGCACGGGAGCAAGATCACAACAGCCCTGGAGAAAGGTGAAGTTGAGGAGTCGGAGTATGTGGTAGTCACAGTGAGAAACGAGCCTGCTCTTGTACCCCCCATCCTCCTACCGCCAGCAGGTGAGAGAAGGAACCTGGGGCCCACAGGGTGGGCTGGGGCCCAGGGAGGCATGGACATTCCAGACTTGGGTCCCAACCCCGATAAAGAAGAGCAGAGTTCTGGGACCTGTAGCACAGCATTCCAAGAAGCAGCTTTGAGCACCTCTTCTCGACATCAGGGCGCATTTTGTGGGGATGATGGATGCGAAAAAGAGGGACCACAAGGTGGCTCTTTGAGACTGCCCGGTTCCGAGGCCCTGAGGGCAGGCCTGAAAACTAGCCAACAGACTGCTGGCGTGGAATTCAAAGGGGAGACGCCTCAGAAACTGCTAGACCGGTCAACGGCCTGGCCTTGCCCTGACAGACATTTCCGGGAGAAGGCTCCCTTAGAGAAGGTCACTTTTAAAATTGGAAGCTCCGTATCTCCAGAGTCAGACCTTGAAAGTCGAACCAAGAAAATGGAAGAGCAGCTAAATCCCTGTAGACAATGTCCAGATTTAGCTGGAAGTCCCTCCACTCAGTCCAGGGTGTATCCTGACATGGCTCAGGACCAGCAGGGTTTAGGGTGCTCCTTTGAGCCTTGCTTTCGAAAGAATGCCTGCTGCCTTCGGAAGCAGTCCTCTGAGCAGGAGGAAGGCGAACCAGACCGACGTTCTGCTGAGGACAGAGGCATCAGAACCAGCTTGAGGGCAGACGTTGCTGTCCAACTCAACCGGCCAACCGCCACATTCACATCCGGTGACTCTGGGAAGCAGGCAGTGCACAACATCGGAGGTTCGTGTGTGAAGGGCGCAGAAGGGCCTTGGTTGGAGCCTATTCCAAGCAGATGTGAACAGCAGGACTCTGGCCTCTTGGTCACTGCAGATGTTCCCTGTGGGGATGCCAGCAGGACAGAGGAGTACAGAATTGAAGGAGACATTCCCAGGAACGAAAGCGCAGACAGTGCCCTTGGAGATAGCGATGACGAAGCGTGTGCGGCAGCTGCGTTGAGTATGGGTCACCATGGTGACAGGCCTGAAGAGTCCCTGGAGGTGGAGCTGCCTCTGCCCAGGTAATGTGGGCAGGTGGGGAAGCACAGGGAACTGGGTTCACGTACAAGCGACATGTGACTATACCCACCTGCTGACCTTGTAGTTGGCCCAGTGCTTAACTCGTACTGGAGACGGATGACGCTGTGAGCAAAGATTTACCATCTCAGAAACTCAGAGGAGCAGTTCTACTCTGCCCTATACGGTCGATCTGAACCGGAATCAGCTCGACCGCAGTGGGGGTGGGTTTTGTTTTGGTTACCCTGTGATCATGAGCACCACGCTGCCTGATGTTGGCTGTTTTATTCAAGGGGGTGGTGGGGTGTGTGTGTGTTTTCCTTCACCTAGAGTATCAGAAGTGGAGGAGTCCCTGGGTGGCAACTACTGGCCGAAAGGTTGATGATTGGAATCCACCCAAAGGCCCCTTGGAAGGAAGGCCTGGCAGTCTGCCTTGCAAACTGCAACGCATTTCTGTTCTGCACACACAGGGTGGAGAGAAGGGGCAGAAATCAGCACATCTGGTGTGCAGCCCGCCCTCTTTCTGAGGGCGACTGACCACTAGTGGGCTTAGTGCAGCTGTGCGCTTAGCGAGGAGGGGTTGCCCTTGCAGCTGCTCTGCCCTTGTTGGGAAGCGGAAGGGATGCAGTGGTGGTGGTGGCCGTGGCAGTGACGAGTGGGCTGCTGTCATCTGGGTGGAGGGCAGTGGCTGGCAGCGGCTGCCTGGCTTTGGAGGTCATGGATTGCGCTTGCCATGTGACCTCTCTCCTGCCACTCCGAGCAGCAGCAGCAGCGAGCAGTGAGAAGTGGTTGGAAAACCGCACTCCATCAGGTTGATTATTTGCTCTGTGATGACTGAAAGCAGTAATTAGCTTTCTTCTGTTCCTCTGCACTGTTATGGGCACCACCCTGTGCCGATGTGTCAGGTTCCTCTGGCCAGGTTCTGGTGGCCCACCCCTGCCCCACCCTGCCCCCACTGTCCACTCTACTGATGCAGACTGATTTGGCATGTTAGGAATAATGAGGTCCAAGAAAAACTTGATAAAGAACGAGAAAAAAACATCTTTGTGTTCTTTCTCCCTTTCATTTGAAACCAGAAATGACTTCGCTCAGAACTTGCATCTGTTTCCCATCCTAGTAGTCCAGTTGCTGGGGAACTGGTGAAATGGGCCACCCCGATCATTTTTTATTTCCCTGTATCATTGGAGCTTACCTGAGGATAGTGCATTTTTACTTCTCCCCATCGTTTTAGGTCTCAAAACATCAGTCACCAGAACGTGAGAAACTTTGGCCGGTCCCTTTTGGCGGGCTACTGCCCCACGTACATGCCCGATCTAGTGCTTCATGGAACCAGCAATGACGAGAAGCTGAAGCAGTGGCTGATGGCTGACCTGGTGCACACGGTACATGTAAGTGACCCCAGCGTAGAGCTTCTGCCAGCCAGGGTCCCAGCCTGCAACAGGGAACCCCTTCACAAGACCTGAGAACAGCGGTTCTCAACCTTGGGTTGCGACCCCTTTTGGCGTTGACCGACCCTTTCACAGGGGTCGCCCGATTCATAACAGTAGCAAAATGACAGTTATGAAGTAGCACCGAAAATAATTTTATAGAGTTGGGGGGGGTCACCTCAACATGAACTGTGTTAAAGGGTCGCGGCATTAGAAAGGTTGACAACCACTGCCTTAGACTAAAGAGGTCTAATTAAGGGATTGCTTATAGAAGGGTAGACAGGTCCAGGGAAGCCCCCAGGGCTGGTGAAACACCCAGGAACTAGCGGAAGTGACTCCACCTGGACTGACCGGGGAAGCTAAGAGGCAGTGACACCTGAGCTGCCCTGAGCAGGAACCCCAGAGGAGCAGTCAGGGGGCCAGACCCCTCTGTTCTGCTGCCTGCTCTCTGATTTCTTGTAGTGCCTTCCATTGGGGGAGCCCAGCTGGAAGCTAGACAGGAGGCCCCCGCGATGCAGATTCAGTGCTGTGGTCTATCAGTTGTCAGCCTCTCGGCGGCTCAGCAAGGACGGGGGAAGGGCAGGATAGATTGTGGGTTGGGAGGGGTGGTCAGCAGGGCAAACAGAGTCAACAGCACAGAAGGGAGTGATTGCATGCCATCATGGAGAGGACCCAAGGGCTATAACGTATGGATTCCTTTTGAACCAGTCCTTAACACGCTCCTACGAGGAATTTATTGTAACGGATGGTCATTAACTCCACTTGATGACTGCGTGCAGATAACTGTAAAAGATTAGCACATCTTGTGACTCCCGTTAAGTACTTGGGTGCTATCTGTCGCTTGACGAGAACCAAGTGATTCAGGAAACGGCAAATCTGATGGGCCTGTTTCTAACGCACAGTGGGGCCCGACATGCCACCGTAGATTGTTGTTGCTGTGGACACATAATCATATCTTTTGCAAATGGGAAAGCCCGCATTACATGAAAAGGGGAAAAAGAAGCCGCATTTTGGCTTTTTTACCTCCCTCCTCGCCCACTGGAGTATCTGGGCTTTTGAGAAGGGCAACAGGCATGCCATCGGTTATGTTATCTTTGGCCGTGAGCACTTCCTCTGTGAAGACTGAACATACCTCAGGCAAAAGATGTTTGTGTGAAGTGGAAAGAAAAGCTCAATACTGAAGCTGATTGGCTCACAAGCCTCCCTCTGCTCTCTCCACCCCACCCAAGAGCAAGGAGCGAGCAGAGCCAGTCCAGCATACATGCTTGAACCTACACATTGCTAGCCCTACCCGAACCCCAGCCTTCCCTCGGTCCGACCCCACCCTTCACCAGGACATCCTTGAAATGAAGCCAGGAGGTGGCCCCTGTGTCTGTAAGGAATGCTGTATTGTTTTGTTTTCATAGTTGTAATGGACATTGTGTGCTTATTTATCATTGTTGAGGTCCGGGCATCAATGACCCTGGAATAAGAAGAGCACCCTGTTATAATAGTGTGTGATAGTATCTCTGTAAGTTGTTTTAAGTGGGGCCGGGACCCTGGTCACTTAGTGGAGTGTTCATTGGACAGCGAACCACAAGGTCAACAAGTCAACACTACCAGCTACTCCGAAGGAGAAAGATGAGGCTTTCAATCTTACAAAGAGTTACAATCTCAGGAACCCACAGGGGCAGTTCAACTCTGTCAGAATCGACTCAATGGAAGTGTGTTAGTTCAGGTAGACTGGAGAAACAAGTTTATAAATACGTATGTGTATAAGAAAGAGCTTTATGTACTAGGACAATTGAATATTGAGAAAACATCCCAGCCCAATCCAAATTGTGTCCAAACGTCCAGTATTAGCCCATATGTCTGATACCAATCAATTAAGTCCTTCTCTGACTCATGAAACACCAATGCAGAAATTGCACAGGCCAGTGGGTGGGAAGTCTTGTGGATCCAGTGGTGTTGTAAGCATCTCAGCCCTGGCAGGGTCTCCACGTGGCTCCTTCAGCCTCTCTCCATGTGTCTTCTCCACAGAGATGTCTCGCAGGGAGTGAGTAGAGAGTGTTTCCTGCCTCCAAGGAGGAAATATAGGAGTTCCCAGAATCTTCAGGAGAAGGCCATGCCCACATAGAGGCCTAATTGGCTATATCCTGATTGACAGGCTAGACTCCACCCCTACACTCTTGATCCTACATCAGATTATGTAACGACCACAGGAAGCGAGGTGGTGAGTGAGGAGTTGTGCTAACAAATATGTGATGCCTTGGGAGTTTTACAGGCACCACTTGCATATGTTAGGAACCACCACTAGTGTTAGGCAGAGAATTAGTGGACCTCACTTCCTTTTCGGTCAGCACTTGATTTAACTCTTTCGTGAGTTGAAAGACCCCTGGTGGTGTAGTGGATTATGGGTTGGATTGCTAACCACACGATCTGCAGTTTGAAACCACCATCCACTCCAAGGGAGAAAGATGAGGCTTTCAATTCCCTTAAGGCGTTGCAGTCTTAGAAACCCACAGGGGCAGTTCTAACTCTGTCTTGGAGGGTAGCTGCGAATCGCAAATGACTCAAGGGCAGTGAGGGAGAATTTTGAATTGGGTCCGTGTTTACAGAACAAATCAGCTTCCATTCAAGAATTCCCACACTGTATTTCCTGTCATTGGATTGCAGTCCCCACGTGTGACATCATTGACCTCGTTGCTCCCTGTGCTTTCCCTGTTC